AGCAGTAGTGTTTTATTTACAAAAACAAACAAGCACGCAAACAAACAAACAAACAAACAATAAATAAATAAATAAATAAATCTGGAGCATTGGATACGGAGAACGCAAAAAAAAAAAAACAGTGACAATAACCAACCAACTCAAGATACAAACACAGGGCAAAATGTACATGGGAAAACCAACTGCAGAACAATACACAGGCAAAGAACATAATCAGTGACCATGATAACTAAATAGGAAATAAATAAAAACCAAGGCAATAGCAACAGCTCTGAAAACAGAAACAAAAAGTGAAGGGAGGTGATGATGGACCTCAGGGGGCGGGAAGGAGGGCTAGGTCCCCTGAGAGGGAGAAGACCAGGTTTAGGGGGTGCTGGGGGAGCAGGAGGCCACCATGGTCAGTGGAGAAAGGAGGCCAAGGAGACCTGAGCTCGAAAAGATGATTCCTTCAACCACGGTTGATAAGGTTGGTTCAGAGACTGTGATTGTGCCAGTGGTGATTGAGGACTGGGGAGAGCCAGCTGAGCAGGAGGACAATAGACGCTTTTCCACTGTCGGACCAGTGCAAGCCAGCGCTTTCAACGGGCCGGTGGGGCTAATATACTCGGACCTGTAGCACTGAGCCCAAAATAATGCTGCGTTTCCACCGTTGGGCCAGAAGCTCTGCAGCGCTTCACTAAAACCCGCCCTTTACATGCCTCTCTGGAAAATTAATTAATTAATTAGAAATAAATCACTGGAGCTAGCACAATCACAAAACGAACATGATAAAAGCGGCCATTTGTTTGCATTTTTTGTTGTTTACTTAACGATTTAAAAAGCATTGATGTTTTACCAGTTTTACAATAATAAGTGATACATTGATCATAATTAATTAATTTAAAGGATTGAAAATTAGTCACAGAAATAAAGTAGTATATACCGTTATTTCACAAAAGAGGACACACTTATTCAGTCGCGTCTGTTTCTGTTTACTTGTAGTCACAGTATACATCACAGTTAGAAAGAATGATAATTTCTATAATTTTATATAATAATCAAAATATGACCTGAGTAGCAGAGGGAGCTCCCGAACAAAAAACTAGGCCAACGTGGAGCTAAATATAAACATCAGACAGTCAGGTATAAAGAGACGAGAATTACTGAAAGATAAAATATGTTACTAAATAAATACACGATTGTGATAGCCTATATGATTTGTCTGATTTCTTCAAGTGTTCGTATTTACCATGTTTACTATGGTAAGGGCTAGCGTGCATAACGTTAGTCCTTTACATCGCTTATAAATATTTCTGCCTTGTATGGTGATCATAATCCACATCGGATCTCAAACAGAAGTTATTCGCTGCAGTCTGCAAGTGAGTTTTGAGCTCAAATTATTTTAAGGGTGCTTTCACACCTGGCCTGTTGTTTCGGAACCTGGCACGTTTCCCCCCTTAGCTCGGTTCGTTTGGGCATATGTGAACACAGCAATCGCACCCGGATCCGTGCCAAAACAATCGGTCCGAGATCGCCTGAACGAGGTGGTCTCGGCTCGATTGGAAACGAACTCTGGAGCGGTTCGGTTGTAGTGAGAAAGCAATCCGATCTAACGGACCAACGAACCAGGCTATATCACAATGTACAATGGGTAATTACGTAAGTTCTGTGAAAAGCATTAGCATTTTAAAAATGTTTTCCCGATCAATCCTGGACTCCTGCTCAAAATGATAAATTATTATACAGCTACAAAAAAAAAAAAACAACAACAATAAGCCCGCGAAGCTGCTGTCGTTCTATCCGGACGGATGACAGCTGTGACAGCTAAAGTGGAATCCCGGAAAATAAACCGTGGAACTTTGACCAATGAGAGAACAGTTTACTTGCGCGTGACTTGTATTAACAAATTTGGTCTGTTTAGAAACATTGCCGTATGAAAGCGAACCGCACCAAGAATAAAAAGCAACATTGTAATAATTTTAATCCCTGTTTCGGAACAAAGCAATCGATCTACAGATGTGAAAGCACCCTAAAAGTCTTTAATGCTGGTGTTACAGTTGTTAACTATATCAAATAATCTGTGGCTCTGACACTCTCTAGATGCGGAGAAACTCTGCCTTTGTTCATAGCCACTCCTCAAGCCTGAGCTGCCCCACTTTGGCCCAAGGTTTTCGGCAGGCCAAAAAACCCTGGCTTTTGGCCCCGAGGAAGCCCTGACAAGGCACGATCAAGGCACGACCAGAAGTGACAGTGGAAACACGACTGGCACGCACTAGCACGCCCGCTTTTGTCCCGACAGTGGAAATGCAGCTATTGAGGATCTAAGGGGCTGCACAGAAACAAATGAAGCAGGAAGGAGTTGAGGGTGGGCACAAGTGTGGGGACTGGTTCTGTGGAAACAGGTGAATCAGTAATTCCTCCAATGGTAGTTCTGAGGCAGACACGGCAGCAAGCTCTGGCTCCTGGATGGACATGGCGGCAAGCTCCATAATTCAGTGGACTCTGGCTCCAGGATTGACAATCCACAGAGATTTGGCTTTGACTTGCGATCTGTAACAGGCTTTTGAGTAGGCTCTGGGTCCGTGGTGGCTGGAGACATCCTAGACCTCCCTCGTGCCAGCAAGACCTCAAAGTTGCAACAAGTCATGTTGCAACTTTCCACCACTCTCCCGACTACCATCGAGTCAGAATAACATTTTTGGTGTTTCTCTTCAAGCCGGAAAAACTCGATCGCAACTCCAACGCCACTGAACTGTTGAACCACGTTGACTTTCATCCGAGACTGCATCCGGACACTCGTTCAACGGCCAAGGCAATGCAATGCAAGTATCGTACATTTAAATAAACTAAACAGCAGTATTGTACAAAGCCCTTGTCACAGACCTCTTTGTCACAGAGGAGGTTAACTGACTCCTTTTCCATAGCTTCATTCCCTAATTTCTATAATGGCTTCATTCATTCACGTTTACTTTCCTTTTTTACATTTGTATACTGTATATGTGTGAGTGTGTGTATATGTTTGTTTAAACTAGTTATTTATTTGTGTTTTAGTTAATAAAGTTTTTGTGCACACTTTCATGAGATTCTGTGGTACTGTAAAAAAGTTATTTTCTGTGGCCATGAAAAAAACATTTCTTAGAGTTAATATAAAAATACACTCAATGTTCTCTGGACAAACAGGTTGACTGTAATATTAATTCTGCTACAGTTACTTCTAGCAGCTGATATAAGGTAAATAATTGTAATCAATTATTATTATTAATAATATGCATCTCCATTTTGGGCTAATTATGGTCACTGCAGTCACCCGGATCCAGTACATATCCAGCCCAGATGATGGATCAGCTCCTAGAGATGACCTCTACAGCCCTGAATGTCAGCGGAGATCAGGACAACTAGTTGAGCCCCAGAGACAGATCCCCAGTGAAGACCGTGTCTCCTAAACGGACAAGACCACAGGAACCAGTTGAGTCCTCTGCACAATGTGACTTTGCTTCAGCCTGGAATTGAACTGCTGGTTCATCTGGTCAGAGGAGAACTGGCCCCCTGACTGGGCCTGGTTTCTCCCAAGGTTTTTTTCTCCATTCTGTCACCGATGGAGTGTTGGTTCTTTGCCGCTGTCTCCTTTGGCTTGCATAGTTGGGGACACTTAATATCCAGCGATATCGTCAACTTGATTGCACAGATACTATTTAAACTGAACTGAGCT